GTCTTTACGACAAACGTTTTGGAAAATATCAGCGTTTCGTGTTCGTTTTGACTTCGTGTGGACGGGGCCTAAAAGTACCACTGTCTGCTTTGCTATTGGTCTCGTGTTTAAATGGTTCACCGTCATGTTAAAATCTGGCATGCCTGAAGTATAATTACCGTCCGGCGTGGTCAGTACCCTCAGTATCAGGTGTGTTTTAGAGGAATGTTTCGCACCATTACATCTGCATAGAGACGTCAGAGTCAACAATTGCGTAGGGGGCCTACCAGATGTCAGTGATGGGGCCCCTAAGAGGTCAGGGGCCCGTAAGCAACTGCTGTCTCTGCTTACCGATATTTACGCCATAGGGTAGGATGAAATTTGCAAAGAAAATTCAAATATGAAAGGTAATACAGTATAGTATGTTTTATTTATCGTAAATGTTTGTTCACCATGCATCTTTTATTACCTACAGTATTTTGCTTTCAGTATAATTTCTCTGCATGACAAAGATTGAGTTCCATTGTTATCAGTGGAGGCCTGACACCAATGTGAGAGTGCAAAAAAGAAACAAATAAAAAAAACATTCATAACTTTACTCTGCAGAAAAATGGTACAACTTTTAAACAAAGAAAATTGTGAAAATTGACAATATATGCTTATTTCTGTTTTGCAAGTTACAATTAGTCTGAATCAGATGAAGAGTTGGTTTATGCTTAATGGACTTACATTCCCGTATGCTGATTACACATCGTTTGCAGCTTTTTATATTCCCTATGGCTTTTACCTGCTGTGCCCAGTATTCTGGTAGACTCTAGGTGGCAGTGTAGGACACAGACCACGACCTTACAACACAGGTAGAGGTAGAAAACACAGTTGTATCCAACATTTTCCCAGCCCGTTTGTGACATCCAAAAGTGATATGAATGTATTTCCTAGAGTTGGTATTGGTAATATTTATGGGCGAAACCATTTGATCTCTATGTCTATTTGATGGGAAAATGTCACTGGTTGGACCTGTTGCCTGCCACTAATGTCTTTTGGCTATGAGCTCTCTGCACAGTAACCTTTTTTTCTATGTTGGCATTGTGAACAAAATTAAAATGATGTTATTTTCCCAAGTGATGCCCTGTGGACCTCTCAGACACGTCAAGCATTAATCAGCCTTTGGTTCAATTAGATATTAATTTGGACTTTGACTGCACTGTTCAAAAAATAATAATATTCTTTAATTCAAACTAATTCCTTGTAGCTAAATATTTTGGGTTGATGTCCTGCCAGTGGCTGAGTATATTACCACAGCAAGCTGTTCTGTAGAACTCATCTTTGTCCCTGTACTGTATATATATATATATATATATATATATATATATATATATATATATATATATATATATATATGTATAGTCTACTTCAAATTCTGGTGATGAAATACTTCAGGGCTAAATGGTTTTTCCAGAAATCAAAATTGCATTTTCTTTCTACCAATATTGCGATTCCACTTTCCTTTGCTTCAAAAACAAGCATGTAGATGTTTCAACCCAGGGTTTCATTGTTCTTCTGACCTTGAAAGCTTGCTAGTCCAAAGTTTATTGTAGAAGCTATTTGCTGTTACCGTTGCTTGGAAAAATGCTTACTTCTACTGCCTGAATCTGCATGCTACAGTAGCTACTATTCCCTCTTCCCTTCTGTGTGGTGGCAAACCCACTTTAAGAAATGACCGCCATCTATAGGGCTGCACTGAGAAAGTCAGTGTCTTATTCTAGTCAAATGGAATGTGACCAAAGTTGACTGCTTCTGGGATTTATTGCAAATGCAATTAATTGCCCAGCCTAATGTGCACAGGCACACAAACCATAATTGATTGATTGTTAACAAATAGAGTTTTGCATCTTGTTTTCAGCTGACAGGTGGTTCCCAACCCTGCTCCTCTGGGACTCCTGTCCTGCTTGTTTTATGTTTCTCTTTGCACACCAAACACCTACCTTAACTGAATAGGTGATTAACAGATCTCTGCAGCTCCTGATGGTATACAGGGGAGGAGCAATCGTTTAAATCAGGTGCAATAGAACAGAGACACATGAAACAAACAGGACAGAGGTCTCTGAGGACCAAAGTTAGGAACCACAGGAATATAAGACCTTATTGTACTGTGTACCTACCTGGTTTGGATCAAACAAGTTCAGGACTTTTTTCTTCTCTTGCCACACTTTATATATAGGTCAGGTTTGTGGAGTGCAATTAATCTGATCTTGGATCAGCAGCTCACGTAGACGTTAGTATGGACCACTTAGATTTTGATGGATCTAACAGAGCTTGTGAGATGTTCAAGTGTTGGGATATGTTTTATGGGCTAACTCAGCTTTTACCTCCTCTACAACTTTATCCCTGACCTGTCTGTTAGTTTTCCTTATTCATGATGCTGTTAGTTGTCCAGTGTTCTCCAGTGAATGTCAGAGGTATATAGAACAGCTGGATTTATACTGAGGCTAGGTAAAACACAAGTGAACACAGTCTGATAAAGAGGGCAATCGGTTGACCTGACCTTTATTTACACCATTGGAGGGAGCTGAGCACACACGCACATTGTATTTTTGTCAAGGTTTGTTCGAGGTTTTTGAGGATCCAAATGCAGAGAAGAGGAGGCAGAGATGAGTTTCCAGATTTAATGGAAAGTTTCAGAGGCTAAATCCAAAATCAAAATACTGAAAAGCAATAAACCAGGAGAGGCCAGAGAGAAACACACAAAGGGAGCCAAGTAACAACAACGCAATAAGAAACCAGCAATGAGGAACTGCAGAGGTGGTATATGTGGGGAACAGAACAAAGAATGGGCTAATGAGCTGATATGGAGCAGGTGTGGATAGAAGTAACTAGAAGGGAGCCAATGGGAAAAGAAATGGGCACCAGGGGGCAGCAGAGAGTGACACAAAATCACAACACTACAAGAAAACAACTACAAAGACACAAAATGACAAAAAACTAAAAATAAAACCTAAAAATATGGCAAAAGCCTGACAATTTTTTTACTT